GCTCACCATTCTCACCCCAAGATTCAGTCCGGGGCAAATTCGTCTTCCAGCACTAAATGGTATAAATGAAAAGTCTTTGCCTCTGAAATCAATATCTGAATTCAAGAATCTTTCTGGCTTAAATTTTGTTGGCTCATCCCAGTAAGTTGTGTCCCTTGAAATGGACCATGTATTCACAAGAATTTGGGTGTGTTTTGGGATGGTGTATCCACAGATTTGTACATCTGTCTCGGCCCGATGAGGCAGGAGGAGGGGTGCAGTAGGATGAAGCCTCATTGTTTCTTTTATTACTGCTTCTAAATAGGGAAGCTGCGAAAGATCTTGTTCTCTGACATCTTCTTTTGAACTGAGTTCTACGGATAGTTCTTGTTTTACCTTTGCCAGTATGGTTGGATTGCGGAGGAGCTCCGCCATAGCCCACTCCATGGTGGTGGTGGTCGTATCCGTACCCCCAATGAACAAATCCTAGCATTATATACAGGGACGTGTTATGGAGTATGACGGGAGAAATGTGTTGGGAGTCACAGTTTACAAAATTATTGACATGGGTTCGAGTCTCTTCTGCAAGGTAAGTGTGAGAACCAAAAAAAAAAAAGGAAATGGTACGTGTTAAAAGGATAAATTCGTCCCTTCTCCCTAAATGAAATGGTTCAACAAGTAAAAAGCAGTGACTACTTGGGTCAATAGCAACGCTGTCAAAATGGTTTATATTAGGAAATTCTTTGGGATATCTTAATGAAACTTCAATACAATGATCTTTTTCAAATGCAACATTTTGAATAAATTTTTTGCTGTAAAATCGACTTTTATTGAATGAAAAAGACAGTAAACTAGAAAAAATTTTTACTAACATTTTTTCCCCCCTCACTCTCATTTTCGCCCTATTTGGGAATTGGGAAGAAGTCAAATGCCGTCTCTTGTCTATAAATTTATGAATATAATACTGAACGAAATGAATGAAATCTTGTCTACAAAGAGAGGACTTTCAGGTACATTAAAAAAAATGAAAGTCAAACAGATCTTATTGTGCATGTGGAGTGTTGCTGATTTGTTACATTAAAAAATGTTTTGTCCTACATGATCCCTTAGATGCAAAAGCTGGTGTAATACTTCTAAGAAGATCCTTGCTTGATCTGGTCTAGGTGATAATGTTTTCGATTTTTCGTTCCTCGTGTTTGTAATGTTTAGACAATATCGGAGTCTCATAATCATGTTGTACACTTATCCTTTTCATTCTTATCGCAGCTTGATTTCGTCAAGGTGATAATATTTTTGACTTTTCGTTCCTCGATACGTGTTTGTGTAGTATGGAGCCTAATAATCATGTTGTACAATTATCCTTTTCATTCCAATCCCGACTTGATCTGGTCAAGATGATAATCTTTCCGACTTTTCATTCCTCGATATGTTTTTGTGCAGTATTTTCATAATTTAAATTATGGAGTCTAATCATATTATACACTTATCTTTTTCATTGCGATCTTTCTAATGTTTCTACAATAGTATCTTCTTTATATTGAAAACCCTACAACTGTAAGCAGATATAGCTCTAGTATTCAGGTAGAACCACTATATATGTACGAGTATTCTACTTGTTTTCATGTTTTCATTCCGTTTATTATTGTCTATCCTATATCGTTAACCCGGATAGTCGTCGTTTCTTTTTCCTATGCACATGCATTGGTTTAGAGTTGTGTGTCTGTGAGAAACAAAAAGGAAAAACTTACCATAAGTAAAAGATTGACATCAAGATGATGAAGTTTATCAGGCCCATATTCATCAATATGATCAAGAAGAACATCCAAGAAATCCCCAATCCACCTTGATCCAGAAGCCCTACGTTTTAGCCGTCGATCAATCATCTCATCGATCAGATCATGCAACTGGTCGTATGACACCTTGATCGCACTCCTTATTCCTTGAAGATCAAA